CTGTCCCTGAACCAGGACGTGAAGACCCATAGTGTTTTGAGACGTCAAGGATCCCAAATTTTCTAGANTAAAAAAAAAGCTGTCCCTGAACCAGGACGTGAAGACCCATAGGGTTTTGAGACGTCAAGGATCCCACATTTTCTAGACAACCAGCTCAAAGATGGCGGTAAGGTTGTCAGCCTTACGTGCCGACCGCGCTTTACCCCCAGGAAAATTATTTAATTTATATTCATAAAAGGTTAGGAAGAAATATCTTGAATGCATGTTCGGCTGTTAGCATCATTAGAAGAAGTTTGCTCTGCCTAATTAAAAAGTAACTTGTTTTTCTCAGGAACATGCATTTATATAGGTCACTTTATATACTCAGAAGAAGAGTTTAGCACTATGCCCTTATTCCACACAAGCGCTCAACAAGCAGTGCCTTTTTGTACGTGGCCGAGAAAATACTCAACTTTCCATGAGACTTAATTGGTATATCCAACTGAAATATGACATAAAATTAACCTCTTCCTAGCGTCATGGTCCCTTAACGCGGAAACTGAAATAATTAGGACTTAACTTTGTTGTTAAAAACACCCGCAGCAACATGAAATACAGTAAAAGAATAGCAGCTGGGGTTGTAGTGGAAGCTATCTGGTTAAATCTTGCCGCATGCGACTGTAGGGAGAACAAAAGAAGAAGGACCGAAAGGGCATAGTGATGACTTCCTTCCGTTCAGCGAGTTCTTAGTGTGGACTTGCTTCTCCTGCCAATGGTCCATGCTTCACATCTAGTATTTGAGGAAGGATAGCGACATTGTTCAGAGGGAAGCTTGCAGCTTGCTCGAGACTCCCCATTATAAAGAACGAAGTGAGGCGATACAGTGCAAACATTAGCTCTCTACTTTACAGGCAGGTTTTTCTAGCTCACGGCTTTTGGCCCTTCTTCATGGACATTAGTCGTGTAAACATTTGCCATTAAACCTATACTTTTTGGATTCCCTCGCGGGTATTCTTCCCAAAGTTTAAGAGATGACCGTAATGAAATATTCCAATGCACGTAAGTTGTGATGATATTGATTTCACGTTACTTCGCTCATACTACTCAAACCGAAGTTCCCCCAAAGATGTCTCCACCTTGTCGTGGTGGAGGCGGTTACGTGACTCTGTGACCTAGAGAACTATGCCGGCGGTAGTTTAACTATCAGTAAGGTCACCCATGCCGGAAAAGTCAAAGTGTAGAGTCCAGACTAAGAGAGAGACCCTGGTCCCCCAGCTTGGGGGTTGGTCATGAGGCTAACAACCTCATCCTGTAAAAAGAATTTTGTTCAGAAACCTAACAACCAGTCTCGGGTCATCATGCGTGGGTCCATTCCTATGGCAGCACGTATTGGTTGTGGAGACTGGTTGTAGAGGAGGCCAAGGCTCACCCAGAGCTGTAGTGCTGAGTGGTATGTAGGTAGGTAGGTAGATAGGTAGGTACTCAAACCGAAGCGTATATTAACCGTCGGTGCAAGGTGGTGGATACAAAATCAAAGGCAGTTTTATCACAAGAGCTGGCCAAATTTGTACATGTTAACTAAACAAATATTGCGTTTCTATATAAATGTTCCGCTCTACAAAGAGTTCGGCCCTTCAGACCACGAGATTGCTTGTTCCATTAAAATGAAATATTTTCTGTTGGACTTGAAGTCATCTTTGCACGGCTTCTTTCCGCGGTTGACTCTCATTATAAATATAATTTCATCAATGTTATTTCTCTCGGATACGATGATCGAACACTTCCTTTAACCTCCAAATGTTTCCAGTCTACGATCAAAAAAACGACCATAATCAACAACGCACTTCTCCCCTACTGTAAATTTTAACACCTCTTCCTAAATTTCCTGTGGCTCATAAATGTACCAACTACGCATAAGCTATAAAAATAAAGGAATAAAATTGTCACTCCTTTTACGGAAGGCAACCACAAAAAATACAATGTGTTTAATGGCGAAATCTACCCGAGGGATGTGACATAACAAAGCAAGAATTTAGGGTGGAGAAAAGCATGATATGGACTTCACGACTAGAAGTGCGAAAAGAAACTCAAGGCAAGTCTAAGGTTGCAGTATTACCTTCTAGCAATCGTGACATCTCAGGTTGGAGACTGAATTATCTTCACGCTATTATGAGGCTGTCGGTCTAATCAAGTAAAATGGCAGTTTTGCACGCCATGAAAACAAAGAGAATGCGCCAGAACTGTTGGTCTCGACGAGACGATGTGCTTATTATTTGCTTGAGAAGTGTTGAGAGCAACATCGGCGATTTGAAGAGTTGATTTCTGAGGAATTACTTGAGCTAGAGTAATGATATTTCAAGCATTTGCTGTCTACTTTATACTTCGTTGAAAAAGAAAAAAATAAAGAAAATTTCTGGCTTCGAAATACGACTAAAAGCTGAAACATAAATAGCATTTGTTAGCGCTTAACATTTTGTTCGTCATTAATTTCAATTAGGTTAGAGACAGAACCACTGGACCTTCTAAGTGCAAACTGTAGAAATAATTTTTTTATTCCTAGTGGGGTGGGACTAAGTCCCTTGTACTGAGGCCACTTCTAGCCTATTTTACCAGCACCAGATGATAGGTGAGGGTGATTGTGGAGCAATTGGTGGAATGAAGATTGGCAGGGGAAACAGAAGTACTCGAAGAAATCCTGCCCCAGCGCCACTTTGTCTACCACAAATCCCAATTGACCAGACCCGGGATCGAACCCGGGCTGCCGCTGTGGGAAGGCAGCGACTGATCGCTTGAGCTATGGCGCGGCCCTTATAAATAAGTTACATAATACCCCCCAAAATATTTCTTGAGTTCCCCATAACCTTTCGTCAGTGAAACCGTGAAAGCAGATAATTGAATTTAATTATTGATCATCATTCTTATTATCTGTTTCTGAATTTCTAATGCATTTTTTGAAGCTAGGATAATATTTCAGTAAGATGTACTTGAGATAAATAAACTTTTAATATTTCATTACTCTAATTCAAATAGTGTCTTGGAAATAAAACATTAAATATCGCATTTTGGGTCGACTGGTCTAGCTTCTAAGAGAAGCAGTTTCTATTGTCTAGTGGGGAAAAGCCCTGGTGGCGCGTTTTATCGGTTGGAGTTGAAGATTGATCAGATAGTGCCTTCAGAATATCTATGTACATTGGTCATAATACCAATAGCTCTGTTTTGGGTCAACAGACTGTGTGGTACCGCAAAGTGGTTTTCATTAGTTCTGATTTGTGATGTTCGAGGTAATGACATCAGGCCTATTAGTAAAACGCGCTATCTCGGAAGCCTCCCTGAGCTTGATATTCGGTCAATATCAAGAAACTTTAAGATCAATATTTTTATTCTTCATGGCGACTTTATTCGAGGAACATTTTGGGGAGAGTGAGCATTCTTTTCCGCCCAAGCATTTTATGTATATATTACTCCTTGCAATATAGCAGCAGCCATTTTATTTCTTTTTTAATTTCCAGGTCACTGACAAAAATCCGGCTGTTGGAAACCACGGTGCTCTTAATGGCGATCCAGTGACCCATATAATTTAATTCAATTCTTTATTTTTACGTGCTAACTACACAGCTACGGGAGAGGGTTACAGCGATCAGCTAACACTGAAAGAAGCAATGGAGGGATATAGGACAAATATACATGTATAAGAATGTCTACCGCATATCATATACAGGACAAACGTAATTTTATCAAAACACTGAATTTAACAACTGTAATTACCCATCAACCAAATTAACGAAAATATGAATGTTAAGGAAATGATTGTCAAACATGTTGACGTGCATCTTTCATTTGCAATCAAGGCTCAACGAACAGAAGGAATTTTTTACGTAAACAAGGGGTATAAAATGTATAATATCTCTAATATTTCTGAATAAAACTCTGATGTCAACACTTTATAGAATCGAGGGGCAGGTAATAAAACCGCTATAAAGGTTTTTTTTTAATGTCTCAATAAAATCCATCTCACGGTTAGAGTGTGCAGGTTTATGTTACCTCAAATATAGTTATAGCTATATGAATTGTGATTTCTGTAGAATCTCTTATGTCATAAGGCAAAAGCTTTCTTAGGACGTTCTAGTTTGTTTGAGTCGGCGTTTGTAAGACAATTTGAGGTAAAGGAAGCATATTCAGTTTTAACTGATTGGGTGACGTACATTAATAAACATTCATCTAATGAAGAAATGGAGAAAGTAATGATGATTATTGGATTTCACAAATTTAGAGTATGAGAAATTAAATAATGAAAGTTACAACGGATTTACTGTTCAGAGAAGTACTGTGCAACACTTCTTGTCTCGCTGCACATCCAAATTTGTCAAAGATACATATAGACATAAATAAAATTTTACATAACCAGGGGAGGGTTCGAAAATATGCGTGACCCTAAATATGTATTTACACATAAATCCTTGCCCTCTATGTTATTAAGAATCATATCCTTGTCAGTAAAAACTGAAGGCGAACGTATACAATTACACAAATATAACAAATATGAGAGAATATTAAACATTTAAAATTAAATCTTTTTATTTACGTAATACATTTCGGACTGTAACCTGTGAATATTTAATCCCTCATAAAAAAGCGCGGTACACCTGATACCTTGTGGCGGCACACCATTCTTCCGTCGCACACGTGTTGCAAAATACTAGTTCAGAGTCAATGAAACCACCAATTTCTTGATAAATAGGTATAAAATAATATATGGAAAAATGTAACGAAAAGACCACACAGGAAATCTAGGAATTGATCTAAATGAAAGAATAATATTAAGCTAGAAATACTAGAAATTCCCATTTGCTTCTCATTTCACAATTAATCTTATACGTTAATTGAGGGAAATAATTTATGTAAGTTTCGGAAGAACTCTGGGTGTAAAGTAGTATTATAATATTAAGACGACCATCTTAAGTTTTAGTTGTTCCTGTGTGTGGGAGTAAGGTGTGATTTAATTAACTGTCTTTTGTCTGTAGGTGGCATGGCTACGCGTAGACACGCAAACCATTCTGACGATCGCCAGTCACGTGATCACGAAGAACCACCGGATCGGAGTGACGCACAGTGACCACAGAACATGGTACCTGCACGTCAGGGAGGTACGGGAGACGGATCGGGGTTGGTACATGTGCCAGATTAACACTGACCCCATGAAGAGTCAGGTCGGCTACCTCGAGGTGGTGGGTGAGTGATGGGTAACAGAGCTCTTGCAAAATATTCACTTGAGAACTACTCGTAGAAGGCTGCCGTAGGAGGTCATTAAGATAGATCTTAGGGAAATAGGTTGTGAGGACATGAAAAGAATAAAACTATTTGACAATCATGTCCAATATCAGAATTTGAGCGGTGATGAATTTTAATGTTGTGGTAGGAGAGAGGTTAGAGGGTTGTGATATTAAGTGAATGTAACTGGCTCAGAACAAAATAACATAATTACCTTCATTGTTATGTTTTTCATCCTGCTGTGGATGTCACTACTATGGAAATCACAACAGTTTTATGCTTCTAATAAATAAGTGAACGGAGAAGTCCATGGAGGTAGGCCTAGGCCCACTGGGGCTGTAGTGCCAAGGGAAAAAAAAATAAGTAATAGATTCAAATTGTCGATAAAATCAGTTAGTTTATTAAGATATTATTCTTATTACATATTTCGGTCATTTATGACCCATCATCAAGCATTTATTAACCATGAAATGCATCCACGTTGTACAACAGCACATCAGTAGAAGCAAGGAAACTACACGAAACAACCCCATAAACTCCAATACGCGAAAGTTTACTAATATAGAACAACAAATAAGAACTCGACCAGGAGCCTACCACAGAACGTGACAAAGCACAAACGACAAAAAACAGGACGGCGTGATGAGGCCAGCGGCACTGCATATACTCGCATAAAACCAACATTTATATTAGAAGATCAAAGATTCGAAATACCCTATTTCACCCTGCCCCCCAAGAAGAACGCCCATGCGACCATTTCCACCAGCAGGTCTCACTCGTATAACACCCAGGTCCTCATAGGGCAAGCATGTCCAGAGCGTCGATCGCGGGACAGTACTTGGTCGATCGCATAGGACTATAAGGAAATTATACGTGAAAAGCATATAAATTAACTTGTAATATAATAGGATTATATTTATATTTTGAAGGGAAAATACGTATTAAAGTAGTCTGTACTTTCAATGTATGTTGCTTTTACAATAAACATCATGTATCGTGTTATATTTACCAATATTTTTGCATAAAGCAAGGTAGTAGCAGTTTTGACATTAAAAGCCGATCACAACCTGTTTGAAGTTGGACATGCCTGCCATAGAGGATCAAAGTTTAAAAACACGTTTCTTGGATGTGGCGTCGTATAGATATTGTGTTAACCGAGATTTCGGAGGAATTTATCGCCTCCATCTTCAGAGTACAAGAAATCCGCGAGCTAGGAACCAGCGTGATCAGGTGGCTGCGGACTCCAGCCAACGAATTAAAGTGGCTCACGGCAGAATCCAATTCGAAACAGCGCGGATAATTGTTTTAAGTAGTTAAGCAACTCTGTCTAAGGAGTGTGCATGTACTAAACACTCGGATGGTGTACCAGTATGTGGAGCAGTGTCATAGAGAGATACTGCCTCAAGGAAAAGCCGGGTTCAAGATTTGTTCCTGCAGGTAGGTCTGGCAGCAGATTAGAGGGCGCTGAGTAATGCCAAGAGAGAGAGAGATAGAGAACAATTGAATCCATTAGTCTGAACATTCTGATTTGTGTTTGTCAGTTGTGAATATGCAATCCTCTGATGAATGCTACAGCGGCGCAATGAACTGTCGCGACACTCAGATTAAGAGCATAACGGTGTACTCTGATCGGAGTAAGCTTACACTTACAGTTCATACAAATGTTTTATTTTTGATTTTGCATAACTCATTAATGTTAATGTTTATTTTACGCAACTATAAATCAGTTCTTGGAAATCTTGTTGCAGCCTGTTGCGTCGTAAACATATAGTTTCTTTATTTCGTATTTTCAGTCAGCCCGAATATCTGCGAGAGTATACAAATGAACTGTTTATATTGAGGGCGTATATCAATGGCACAACAAGTTTCAATCCCTCATAGATCATAATTGTAATCGTTCTTTGGTTCTGCTAGCTCCGGTAGAGAAATTCACTCATCTCAGTCCGTGTTCACAGGCCACGACTTGGGTGATTAGTGGGGCTTTAGGCGTAGGGAAGTGACACTCAACACCAATTAACTGTTTGAAGTCTTTATGCAAACTGCACTATTTAAATGGTAACTGCACCGTAGTGACCCACTCAACAAATTCTTGGATTTTTGGCTTCTTTACTGTTCGCTAAGACACACCAGTCAATAGGTACCACAGAGTGTACATACGGGGATCAGGACACGTGTACCCCCGGTGAATGTAAATTTCGAAATTATCCGCCAAGCACGCTCTAAATGGTAAATATTTGCCCCTGTTAACCAAAAATTCGGTCAAAGGACATACCACTTAAAATTATGATTGGCTGGACCGGGCAGACTGGGAGGTTGCTTAATCTTTCTCCTCCAATTAGAAGAGCATATATCCACGAATATAGAGTTTAGGGGTGAACTTTGCCACCTGCTGCGTGGCTGTCAAACTGGGATTTGGGGTAGCATAAAACGACGCTGCTAAAATTATGTCTTCCCCTGTCAAAATTTAGAATTTCTAAAGAACTCGGTCTCGTGTTACGCATTAACTTGACTTATTTACGGATGGGCAGCTGACTTCAAGCTTGACCCAAGCCACCTGCTGCCTGTCTCGGGGGGGGGATCTGCAATTGCGAAACGAAAGTGAGGAATCTCATAGAACCCTAACCATACACAAAACATCAATTGACCATCCCATAAATTGGACAGTTACATAATCATGTACTACTTTGTGTTAAATGTTGTATTTAGAACCAATGTGGATCCATATTGTGAAGTTACACAATTTCTTTATTAAAACCGTCACAACACAACTATATTAAGCTCCGTTCCTAGTTTGGTTCTGCTACATGTTTCGGCTATTAAAGACCATCATCAGACAGATACATGGCTAAAATATATACACCATTGCAGTACTAATAAAATTGGATACAATAATATTAATTGTATTAAAATACTTGGCGTAAAAATACAACAAATTAGATTATATAAAACAAAAGTTATAGTATAAAAGAAGAATAAAAATTCTTCGAGTGATGCTTTACATCATCGAGTCAGTCGTTGGTTTTTGTGATTTTGATGTGTTCCTACGGACAAATTGGAGTATTCTATATTTTGTGTATATATACTAAATTATTTTGCAGACTCGTAATGAAGATGTAGTAATATTAATTTTAATTATTTAGTCGGTGCCTCCTCTTACAAAATATTGTCCATTCTATAGGGAATGTAAAGTTATCTTTGTTTTTGATATTGCCTTGTAAAATAATTCTTAATCACTTAATTAGACCATTGCTCTACAATTGCAAATGATGATTATGTTTCCAGTAACGACTGACATAAGATCCCTTCCCATATTCGTATAGAAACTCCCTTGCATTTGTTTCAGAATTAAAGGCACAAATGAAGCCGGGTTAAGCCCATAAATGAAGTGAGAAATTGCATCTAATGCTTTTATGCAGGATGGTGGAACCTGTATCTGTTAAAATAAATTTACAAGAACATAAATAGAATGTATGTGCACGACGTAGTTTATATATGCAAAAGGATTTCAGCTCGACCTCAGTGGCACCCTTTTCTCTCTTCCTCACCCGGGCTTCAACTTCCACTCGATTTGTGAGGTAATAACATGCAAATGTATGTAAAACGGCTATAGTATCGCATAACATTGCAGTGCTCCACTACAGACAGACAATTTAACGCCTCTCTATGGCTGACTTGTAGATTGTTTGAGGCTTGTATAAACACTCCAACTGGTGCGTGCTGCTATCGGAAAGTTGATGCCACAAACAAACCAACCGTCTGAACGACCGACTGACCGACCATGGAAGCACAAAGCGACGCGTCCCACAGTCGGAGACGCCGTGTTTGTGGTTGCGCTTCTGAGGATCATGAACCATAATTATACATATATAACCCCTGTGGTAACTCACTCATTTTTCTCTCCCTCTCTGCAGATGGAGTTTGAGCAACTGGAAGGGGGTAAAGTGGCCTTTGGTATGCTTAATGTTTCTTACCGGAACGTATAGTAATGCGGTTAGTGTTGTGGAATCCGTTGCGGAAAAATGATAGTGCTTCGTAAGTGTAAGATACTGTATGTTGTATCACAGATAGATAGAAGCATCATTATTTCTCCGAAACGTCACCCGCCTAACAGACTACAGGATGTCATACTCTTAGAACACCCGGCAAAAACTAACGAGTTTCATCCATGATATGTACACAGTGGTCGTCTTGTAGTGCACTCAGTTTCACCTGTTACTTCACAACATGTTTCGGCAACATAGTGCCATCATCAGGTGTCCCAATTACGTCAATCTATTGCATTGCTTGCCCTCATATGTTTTCACAACACCATTTGAAAAGTATTTAAAAATCCGTATTTGTCAACTATGATAAATTTACACTCGCTAAAACTTGTTAAGATAATTCATCTTATTTGTCTTAATTAAAACTTGCATGTGGTTCGTTCACTACGGGGTCTTTTTTCTTATTTTCTGTGTAAACCGCGTCTTGTGATGTGTGTTCCCTTCTTAGCTGCGAGTGTTGTAATCAATATGTTCTCATAGTTGGGTTTAAACTTTTCTTTCGGTGCTTCTCATTGCAGTAAAAACTAGTTATCCTGTTTTGGCTTGCGTCTCCTTCAAGTCTTCCTGTGCCCCGTCCGTCAGTATTGTAATGCAGCGGATTGCTTTCTGAGAAAAGTGTAATTGCNTAAGATTTGAGGCTTTCACGGCGGTGACTATGAAGAAAGTAGTCTTCTGGGATTTGGCACCGTGTATATGTGGTGTTAACCGACGTTTCGGAGGAACGTCGGTTACCACCACATATACACGGTGCCAAATCCCAGAAGACTACTTTCTTCATAGTCACCGCCGTGAAAGCCTCAAATCTTACAAATTTCTCGCTGTTTATGGAATCCGAAATGTTATTACCATGTTCACAAGATCCTTAATAAAGTTCCTCATATACTATTTAAACTAAGCAACTCAAGCAACAGAATTTCAAGCAGGAAATGTACATAGTGATCATACGTTGTAATATCAGTGGGTTCCAAAGGGCCTATTCCGAATTGTTTCTGATTAAACGTGATATTCTGACGGAATCTCTCTTCGACTGTAATACGGCGTTTAACTCCTTCTCTTTTTGTTATTTGTTCCAGTATTACCAACACGATTATTGTTACTATAAAGCTTTATATCCTCTTCCAGACTAGGCATCGATGCGTTACTCTCTCCTCCTTCCTGTATACTAATAGCCAATAGCAGGTCCCCGTAGATTGACTCTAGGTTTTGTGTCACTACGGAAACCGTAGTCATATCAGCAGTATTATAGCCTTTCTCCAAATGCAGAGTAAATTTTTATTGTTTGTCAATTTAAAATTTATATAACTTCTTTGGCATTGAACAAAATTTTGTGAAAATTTCACAGGTCACAGGAAATTTGTTTGCTGCCATTGGCAACGCTGTACTGAGTAACAAAATGACCTCGTATAGGGCGGATGAGAAACTGCCTATTATCCAAACTACGATGCTTTGCCAACACAGATATTTGGTAATATTGAAAATATTACTGAAATCTGTTAATATCCATAATATTTACGTGAATTATATGAAACTCCAATCTATTGAATTTATAGGCGTGTGTGCATATAAATACATATTTAGTTAAAGTACAAGTGGCCGTGCAACAGAAATCTCCTATTCTCCATCAGAGCAGAAATAAGCTCTTCAATCACTTCGTACAAATATTACAATTAAGAAAACTACAACAATTTCATGAAGACTACTGTCTCATAAATTGCAATGTCGTGTAGTTCGAAGTAATCCCGCCTTCATCTTCGGGGTCTAAAATTAAGCCAATCATGAAAAGAGCAGAAACATGAGACAAGCTGAATTCAGCTTGTCGTCAACGCTTCGATCCCCAAATTGGAAATGTATTTCTCCTAGAAAGCCAAGCCCCCCCCCCCAACTTTATTCACCACGCCCACCTAGCGATGAGGTGCAATGATTTGAGAGAACAGGACCATCAACCCATCCGCATCTGATGAACCTACAGACCTGTGCTTCCGCTTCTCCTTACGCTCATATCTTCATTTGTTGCGTCATTAAGCAGCGGCATAACTTACTGTATATATCGTTAGGCCTACTTCAGATATAGTAACATTTCAGTTAGATTAAGTGAAACCGGTGATTTGTTATGAATTAGCATAATATGAGATTTTCTGGAAATGGCACACGTATTTATTTCTATCTTGTATTTGAGTATAATATTCTTATATCCTTCGATATCCCTACTTCAAAGCCTTTTCCCTTTTGCTTTTAATGTAGTAAGCATATTTATTGTTATCGAAAAGCCAAGTATTGGTAAGGCTAGTTTTGAATAGGCCTACAGATCTAATTTGCTAGTAAAGATTGTTGTTTAATGTTTTGCTACACACATGAATATTCCTCTTTTCTATACGCAGTGTAATTAAATTTCTGATAACAGATTTTCGGAACTAAAACAAACGTATTTTAGTGAACCGATAATGGTATAGATTTGTAGTCGAAGGGTAACTAGCTCCGTTCCTGGACCACTGGCTCTACTTAATTATCATTCTCACCGTTTTTCTTGTTCCGTCACATCAAATGCTGGAGTAATGTCTGGAACATGTCTCCTCAATTTCGTATCTGCTGAAAGTTAATATCTGATTGTGTATAATAAACTAAGAATCAATAAACTCTTATCTGAAGACCATTGTTTGCTGACATACGAGTATGACGATCTGTGACCTGATGAACGCTTACCGACGTTTCGGAGTAAGATGTTGCCCCTCCTTCAGATAAAAGCAGAATCTAAACATCTGCCAGACTACTGGACTCCACCCACATTCCAGGAGACGGTATTCTCCATAGTTACGTCCTGAGGACCTCAAGTTTCAGAATTTTTATTTGGAAAGTTATCAAGAATCTGAAACAAGCCGATAACAAATCAATTATACAATAACGAACACAGCACTGTGACTGTAGTGCGCCGGGATAGCGCGCTCGTTATAGGAACTGACTACGAGCTGGACGACTGAGTGGTCGGAGTTTGGGACCCTTTAGGGTCAAGAATTTTCCCTTTTCCATATCATCCCGACTGGTTCTGTGGCCATCTAGCCTCCTATCCAATGGATACTGGCGAATTCTTCCCAGGGGATTAAGCGGCAGGGGCGTGATGCTGACCACTCACCTCCAACTAGTACCGAGGTCAAGAAAACTTGGATCTATACATCCAACCCACATACATCTTCTTGGCTTAGTTCTTAATTAGTTAAGCACAGGGACATCTTTACCTTTACCTTCACAAAGGGCTGTATTTACCACTTCCGTCAGCAGACTTCCTGCAGTTCTTCATTTGTTGTGTTTGAATGTGCAGTGCCACCGGATATCCTGGACTATCCTACCAGCACGGACATGGTGGTGAGGGAAGGGACGAACGTGACACTACGTTGCGCAGCGACAGGGTCACCTCAACCCACAGTGACCTGGCGTCGAGAGGGAGGCGAGTGTATCCCCTTGGGTAGTGGCCAAGAAGGTAGGAGACGTACATTTCTTCACAATAGTGCCCCGTGTCAGAGGTCATTAACAGTTCGCGACAGTCAACTATTACTGTAAACCGCATTAAATAAGTATTATGTAAACACACTAACATTATGGGATGAGATCCTGAAATTCGACACTTTTAATTATCATATCGAAGCTTGTCATTTGACAAGATTCTGAGTTAGTTCCCTCTACTGCCAATCTCTAAAATCTAGCTAAGACCCGTCTTAATTTTAGTATCCAAAGTATTCTAGTTTATCTTGATAGACCTAGTATTAAACCATGGATAATTCGCCAAGTGGCAGGACTTAATATGATTCCTTAAATCATTTCTTCATTGGCTGAAGAAAGTAGCGTCAAATTCTGAAATGATATGGTTTGAGGAAGAAGCTGAGACAGTGCACTCTGTTCATTGTACTAGTCAAAAATTGTGATACACCATCGTCAGGGAGTTTCAGATTCACCTTGACATTTAGCTCCATTAACTTAATTTATGTTGATACCTTTCGTGTACCAATATGTGAGACATTTTCATCATGTGCGTAACTAATGTCGTTATTCAATCCACCTAGCTAAAAATTCTGTAATATAAAAGAGAATTCACTTGCATGAAAGCACCTATGTACGATAATCCTGTAAATTATTGAAGAGAAAACTTGAAACCTCTGAAATTCATACCCACATTGCGAAGACTTCTCTCTATAGTATCATGCAAATATTTCTTCAAAACTAATGACTCTTCGGTGCTTCAGACGAACGTGATTCTCTCACCTACAAGCATAGAAGATATTTACGATGAATGTAGCAGGTTCATCCGAAACGTCATTACCCCACTAGAGTTCATGATCGGTCATCTCAGGAGAGCAACTTACTATTTTTACGTAATTTCAGTATTAAATTCAAACCATTCTCTGCCTAGTTTTAAGAAAATTTGTATTTTGGAATGCAAAAGGTGTTTACTATCAAGATTAAGTTCTACTGGAATGCAAGGCCATAAAATCTAGTGCGGGTACAGACGTTTCGGAGGAAACTGCTGCACCCATAAAAATAAAATTTCGCTGTAGATGAAGGCATCGCATTCTTCTGAAACACTGGTTGTCACTTAGCATCTTGCAAGACCTCACGTTCCCGAAGACAACAATCTTAGATTCGCTTTTCAGCTCCACTGTGACAAACTCTAGATAGCGTAAGGTGACTCAGATGAAAATTTATTATACACTCTCGTTGTTGGTGCAGTGGCAACTGCCCAGAGCGGAACTCCGAAAGCCCACACTTCGAGTGGCTGCCGCGTGTCGGTTGTCTGAGAGGGATCTTTCGTGGATATCCACAGTTTCTGTAGGCGAATTACGGGATACCACAATGAAACGAGCCACGTCTGCACCCCGTCCAAACTCTTAACTGTAAATCATTCATGATAATCTTCATAACGCATCTCAAGTTATATAACATTTTAAGTTGAATCAGCGTCGTTAAATAACTTAAAAACCAAATAGTCTGCACTTAATAGCATTGAGTGTAAACTAAAAGTAAAAAGTAAATGCATCCCTGAAACAGGTTTTGGCAGCCCATAGCCTTGTGAGATGTTTCGGTTCCCACATTTTCTTGACAATCGGCTCATAGATGGCGGTAAGGTTGTCAGCCCTACGCGCCAGCCGCCCTTAACCCCCAAGAACATTTCAAGGATATTCTTGGTATTCATTTCTGTTAGAGGCTGATTCGAATCCAGGGACATAGTGTGGCTGGAAGGATTAAGTAAATTGAAAAAATCCAGTGACCTCATCGGGATTCGATCCCGCGACCTTCCGGCTTGTAGCATAGTGCCTCAACTAACTATGTTAACAGCATTGAGTGTACATTTCTAAATACAAATAAAGGGACATCTTCAAAAATATTTTGATATGTTAAGAATCAATAAATCAATTATTCAGTCGATTTCGTGACGTTGGCCTATGCTTTTTTATTAAACTTAACAGAATGCGGCATTCCTGAATGTTATTGGTAGACAATGGCCGATACTTCATTTCGATAGCTAACAGAATTGAAAACTTTCGTGTCCATATTCACTATACCAGAATTTCCTAATTTTTATCATTCCAAAAGTACCCTTGTTTAAATGATTACATCACAAGAATCCTCATGTAAAACTATATTTACTGTTGAAGCAAGGTTCTAGTTATTTAGGTACGTGACCTCTTGGTAAACGTAGGTACAGATGGGACAGCAATATTAGAACAAGAAATTCTGGGAAGAACTAATTGCCTAATTTTCTTCATAAGACTCGGACTGCAGAGAATAAGGCGAGTCCAACAGTTCTATTATTGTTTCTGTATTCGTTACAGCTGTAAAGTTCTCACAGAGGCATTGCATAGCAACAATAAGGGAATAGACACGGACTGATGGAAGGGATTCATGAAGTACACCATTCAGACGGGTTCAATGGTCAGGATATACATACCAATTTTCATAAAGATTGTTTCACCCATTCAGAATTTAATAAGTGGGATACATAGACACACAGACAGCATCGGGACCGCATAAGCCTATTTTAATTTTTTCACATAAGGATAATAAACTAATAATATTACATAAATTACCACTATGAACCTCTACTGGCCTCATGTTCTTACGAACACGGTAATAAACATTTGAGTCTCATAAAACAGCGGTAGAGAAATTCTTGAGTACCAAGCTGAGAAACTATCAACATTCAAAGGACATGGAATTAGGTAGTTGATACTGCTACTGCTGCTGCTGTTACTACTACTACTGCTGCTGCTGCTGCTACTACTACTACTACTACTACTATCACAACTACTGACACTACTACTACTACTACTACTACTACTACTACTACTACTACTACCACCACTAAAGTGAGGCAATCAGAGTCGGAGGCAGAATTACTTTAGGACTGACGCTTGCCGTCAATCAGTTTGTCTTGGTGCGAAGCCTCTTAAGGCTTATGACCGCAGTTTATTTTTGTGATTGAGGCTTTATGGCCATACACCTTGTGAAATGTCTTTTCTGATAAGGGGGTGGGTTTGTCTTTTATGAATATGTTATGATGGCCTTCATTAAGTACTACAACTAAAATAATATATAAGAAGGTGTGGTGATGGATGTTCATCTCCACATATCCTTAACTTTGACACTAGACAAGGGTGAGTAGCCAAATTCACGTTTCGGGCGCTTTAATCCAAAAGGGAAGTTTCCTACTACTCACTGGACTGGAGGCTACATGATACCAGAAATAGTGTCGAAGTGGTAGCGTAATGAAAAATAATTTCACATTGAGCGAATCGAACCTCAGTCCTCCAGCCGTAAAAAGTGAATATTCTGACTTTGAATATCCCAATTTGTCTATACAATACTGATAATGCTAAGATCAATAATAATGTAATATGTATAGCTAGGCAAGGGCACGATAAAGACCTCGCTTAAGCGCGTAACAACAATATATGATCATTGTCAGCCAACAGCTCCGTAAACACGTTCCAACACGCAACAATGGAAGCTATTTTCTCAACGGACGTATGTTATAGCTTGTTGTTAGGCAGCAGTCAGCGCGCCAATGAACTGGCTGATGGTGATCACGTTTTAAGCCCAAGAGGAACGTCACTCAACAATAGAGGAAGCTGTGTTTTCTGTGCGTTGGCCCCTGCGGAGGCTATAAAACGAGTTGAGAGAATTGGGCTAGACTAAAGAACTGAGTTCAGTTGTCGGTAGGAGGTAACCACGGGAAGTTCGTAGTTGAAGAGGAATTGTAAGTCGGCCTATGAAATCTCAGTTACGTGATAGAATGTTGCGTCACAGTGAGACTGTTTTAATTCCGTTACCAGGAGACGATTAATGAAGACTGAGAATCCTAGTGCGTGTGTAATGGTGGAATGTAACGTATATAAATCAGCGATAGCTATGTGTTGATTGTAATTAAGAGGGATTGTACAAGAGGGTAATAAATCCACTCTTCAGGTCTACTAACCGTTATTTTCGTCATGCGTAACCCCTACATGTGACAATAGTAATAATAATAACAAATAATTTATCACGTAATTACTTATTCATTTTTATGTGGAGTTTATACTATCCTGATCCCTGAACATATTTTAACCGACAAGAAAAGGAAAACAGTAATGACAGGAAACAGGGCCTTTAGTGAAACGGTTTGCTATTGCAAGAAACTTGAGCTTGATGCTCACACTCTAAGTAATGCTATTTAAGCCTTGCGACAAAAGTGCAACTGGGCAGATAGAAACGCTGATGAGCTTCCTAGCAAATTGTTTGCGTCATATTCATCAGCGTGTTGATGAAGAGCCTACGGCACTGGACGGAAACAAAGCAAACGGAGAAAATATCGATCATGCAGACCTACAATTATTGATTAAATGCACTAGGCTAAATTACTACTCTCGAATCCCACTCAGGGCATGGATGTTTAGTTTCTGTGTTTGTGTACAGGTAGAGGCCTTGCGACGAGCTGGTCACCCGCCCAAGGAGTCCTACCGAATGTGTAAGATCTAGAAAAACCGAAGTGAACGGAGAAGTTCATGGAGGTAGGCCTAGGCCCACTGGGGCTGTAGTGCCAAGGAAAAAAAATGATTCTACTCACATTACATTTTTAGTATTTTATTTTAAACAAAATTGCCCTCTTATCAAATGCTGGCAGTGTGCTTGAATAATATATACAAAAAAATAGGCTAAAAGGATTCACATATTTTCTCGTATTAAAATGACCTTGACTACGTGACTTTGGTATCCGGGATAGCGTGGTCGGTATAGCGACTGGCTACGGGCTGAACGACCAACGGGTCGCGGTAGGGTCAAGAATTTTCTTTTCTTCACTTCTTCTCTGGCTTCCCACCGCGGCGGCCCGAAATCGATCCCGGATCTGGTTAAGTGGGATTTGTGGTGCACAAAGTGGCTCTGGGGCCGGTTTTTTCCTAGTACTTCAGTTTCCCTTGCCAATCTTCATTCCTCCAAATTCTCCATTAA